GCATAGAGAGCCTCCGGCGGCGAGCTGGACGGCGCTCCGCGGCGGAACGAGGAGGGTCCCAGCAGGGGCAGAATGGGGAAACGAAAATGGGTGGCGCAGGGTGTGACTACTGACTAGTACGAGTGGGGAGGCAGTGAGTGTGAGTGTGAGTGTGAGTGCGAGTGCGCGAGCATGAAAATGAATTGATTCGCAGTGCGTTTTGGGCCCTGAAATCGAGTTTTATGGTTTTCGATTCAGCTCAGATTGTCGAATTGCGAATATGCGACACAGCGATCTGTTTGTCGTTTCTCTTGTCGTCCGGGACTTGCCGTTTCGACATCCTTCTCTCCTTGCATCATTCCACAGTAACGTTTCAACTTTCAACTCTCTTCTTTTTAACTATTTCTTCTTTTTCTTTTATAACATATACAAAAACGCTGCGTTCCGATATATTTAAATGCAACTAGTAACGTTGCCACTGTTGCTGAATGATGAAAATGAAATATTGAAATTAATGACCTTCGCCTTAGGAGTTAGGAGTTAGGAGTTAGGATGGTAGAATCTCTGTACTTGGAAAGTGCCAACAAGCCTAGAATCTCACATCATAACAATGTGCTCTTTGCATCCGCTTATAATAATATTATTATTACTGCCCCTTCTATTATTATTATTTATTAATGCCAGTTGAATGCCACCATAGGTGGGTCACCAGTGCCTGTGTTCTGTGGATATATTCTCAAGAGAGTAAGAGTAGTCTAGACATTTTTATTCTTTTTCCTGATTTTTGTTTAGAGAGTGTAAATGTTACGAACCCAATAGAAATACTTTTAAAATTTTAGTAATGATAAAAAGGAGAGAAAAAAAATGAAGAGGATCTTTATTCTTTACTCATTTGTAAAATATTTCTCTTTTTTTTAGGTGCATAAAAGAAGACTTTAAATATCAAGTTATAATTTTATAGAATAAAAGGGTTAAAGATAATGTTACATATGCAAGTTTAAGATTATTATGAATTATTTATTTATAATAATAATACAAATTATGTCTAGTTGTCATTAAATGTCATTACATGGTGTGCTGGATTATTTTTCTTTTTCTTTTTTTATTTATATTCTTTATTTTTCTTACATTTTTACAATTTTATCGACATAAAACAAGGATTTGTCACCTGATTTTCATATAAAGTAAATTATGTGTTAGACGTTTTGACATAATATATGTTACATCTATTTAGAAAATTCATTATTTAACTAACGAATATGTTTCGAATGTAAAAGTATTTGTGAGTATTATGTAATTGACGATAATGATTGCATAATTTTAGTAATTGGTAATTAAATAACAATTTCTCAAAGGCACAATATCTACTAATGACAGTCAACTATGTGATGGTATAAAATGCTTATCAGTTTGGTAGTTGGGGGTCTAATAGGAATATTAAACCTTAGAACAACTTTATCACAAGCTGCTTATGAATTGCTCAATGTTTAAAAGTGTATCTTTCAAAATAATTGTCATTTAATCACCAATCTTTAAAATCTTGTACCCACTATTATCAACCATAAAATTCCTATAAATATAGATTTTACATGTGAAACACAGTCATTATTTCAGCAATAAATTTTCTAGATCGATAACTAGTTCATTTGAGCTCCAAAATTACTTACAATTTGCTTAACTCTAAACATGTATATATTTTTTTTTAAAAATCAATGTTATAGAAAGTCTAAGTGATATTGCATATTACTTAAAAGCTAAGTTGTGTCTAATATTAAATAGGGGTGCTAACTTTAAAACTAAAAATTATTGATTATTTATATATGAGAATGTCAGGGTAGCTTAAAATTTAATCATTAAAACAAAAAATTAGTGAGCTAAATATAATGTAACAATGTTGGACTTACAATAAGATATTTACTTAAAAACATCTCCAACTCAACATCTTATGTGAATTTTTTAAATAGGTCCCATATGTACAAATTACTCATTTATTTATTTATTTAATAACCTCATAAAATATTTTATCCATCCAACCCAGCATCTCTGTAAAAAGAAAAAAAAAAGTTACTAAATGGGTCCACCTATAACCCCACATCCTTGCATTTCATCATTTTATTTTACTTTCAATTGAATGCCAAGGTTACAATTTATAACGTATACATTTTGATTTCCGCTCTTGGTTTATTATTTTACAACTAAGTTTTATTTTTTTTAATTATAAAAGTAATAAAGGGCCCACCACTCTAAGATAATTAATGTATTAAAGATGCTCTTATCTCATTTTCAAAACATTTTTTTTATTTTATTCGGTAACTATAATTATAAATAAATAATAAATTAATTTTTTCCCGATCTTAATTATGATTTTTAATTTTTAATTTTTGAAATTATTTGGTGTTAAATTTTTTTTAATACACTTCATTTATTATTTTTATTTTTTATCCATCCACTTAACTAATATTAAATATAACAATTTATTAAAGTAAACGATATATTTAAAATAAAACTTGAATTTATGATACAATTAAATAAAAGTAACATATTAATTACTTTTTGTTATTGATAATTTTTCTTATATTACTTTTTTTTTATAAGTATTTTTCTTATATTACTTATAATTAGGTCTGAAAGTAGAATAATAAAACATGGTATTTTAAGAATTATTTTTGTGTTAATATGTTATTATCTCTTAGATTTAAGGGTGTTTATGCTTACACTTATCTAATTTTATCCAACTAACTCGAGTATGTTTAATGTTCAAGTAAAATTTAACCCAACCTAATTAAATCTAGTATTCTTTATATTGATATTGGATTTTAGTGTTGAAAATTCAACCGAATCCATTGAGTAAATTTTATGTTTTACTTAAAAAAAAAAATATATATATATATATATATATTATAAAATTACTTGAAAAATAAAAAATACATATTACACCACCACACTATGTACATACATATGATTAACATTTTGGCTTTCACAATTCAACAATTTATTTTACTTCAATAACTTAGCTCTTTGATGTCTAACTTATTTAGACTTATTCCTTGTCCAAATTCCTTAACTTAACATTATATATATACAATGCGATGCAAATCATTGTTTTAAGAAACTTATTTATTTGATTATCTTTTATTGTATAATCTGTTTGTAATTTTATTTTATTTTCAAGTCAAGACCTTATAATGACTTTATTTGTTTAAATTTAAAAATAAGTGTTCCTAAACAAATATTTTTAAAAAAAATATTTAAGAAATAAGTAGAAGTTGACTATTAAAAAAATAGAAAATTACTTATTTGAAAAAAAAAATAGACAAACACATAAAAAAATAATTTAAAAAGTTTTTATTTTATTAAAAATAAGCGTTTTTAAAGAAAAAAAAAAGAAGCTTAAACATACAGAACTAATATGTTAACTAAAATTTGAAGGTTTGCATTTCTTCTTGAATTATGTGGGTCGCTAATAGAGTGGCACATTCAAATTGACTACTCAAATTTATATATGACATCAAGAATGTGATATGTCAAAATAACTCAAATTTAAATAAATGAAAGAGAACGATAATTTTATAAAATTAACTTTGCGATGAATCTTCTTTGTAAGAAATAATATAATACAATAATTATCTTTTAAAAATCATTATGAAGATATAAATGAAAAGAAAAAACTAAATACTACATTGAAAAATTAATATACTAATTATTTTAAGATTTTTATTTTATTTCAAACACAATATTTTTATGGAACGAAGGGTACAATATTTAGGTTTTTGTCTTTTATAACGAATTAAATTTCTTGGTCAATAATGATCAAAGAGGAATGGCAGGGAGGGTACTCTTCACTTTTTCCCTCAGTTAACATGTAGGTCCATGCTCTTATTGATAGCCAGAGAATAAACGACAGCCATACTTTTCAATCAAATGTAAATGTACGAAAAGTTACATTTTTAAAGTTTCCAAAAAAAATGTCAAAATATTTGGCCTGGATAAATTTATACAGTGCTACAATTTTGTTTCAATTCAATAATTATTTCACCTTAAACTCTAAACACTCGAGGAATAGCATTATGTAATGATACTTTTAACACCTCAAGTATTTAAGTTTACAATAATGTGTTTGGATAAAATTCTTACATGTACCTCCTGTAATAATGCTTTCGATGGTTGTCTTCGAGTCTGATTCAAAGTTTGTGATGTTTTTAAAACTGCACAATCACTAACTTTATTTTGGACTATGGAAGGACAACCAAGAAGGGAACATTCTTCCCTTTTTTATTGCATTCTCCACTTTAACTTTCAAATGAAAAGGCATCTCTTCTTCATTGGTAGACCCATCACTTCGGTTTTCATATAATGGGCTACAAATCTTTTTGGCCCGAATGCAATGTCTGGTCCATACCATGAATTATTATTTATTTTATTTTATAAGCATACCATTAAAAATTCATTAAATTCAAATTTGTTCCTCTGTTTTTTCAAAGTATGAGTTATAAGGCCTTGTTAAATGGAGGAGGAGAGAGCAGATAAGAAAATGAATTGGTAGTATTATTTATATTTCGCAACGCATTAAATTTGATGGAGGACTATCTCATCAAATTGCGACTTACATTTTATCTGAAGTACAAAACTTACATTTTGATTCAGAATAAATCACCCAAATCATTTCTATATATAAAAAAATGAGATGATTAAAAAAACAAATTGTTTTTTTTTTTTACTTGACATCTTTAAACTTGACATATCTATGATAAAGATCAGATGTAGTGAGCATATATCAAACTATTAATTTAGATTATAACAACACATAGAAACTTGATTTTGGTATGCCTTGATTTGGCATATATTTAAACCAGTAGCAATAATTTTTACTTTATTATACAATGTCATTTTTCTCTTCATTTATCACCAGACACAAAATAAGGCAATTGTTTCTATTTGAACTGTAGAATGAACAATGAATGTTGGTATGTGATCCAATTGAGGAAGACTAGAATAATTA